TTGGCCAAGGCAGATTACCACTTGGGGGCAGCACGGGCCAACGCCTGGGATCCAAATGGCTGAGCAATCATCAATTCCAATTCCACTAAGTGTGACGAAAGCTCAGCAGGTCACGGCTGGCACGCCGGTTTTTAATCAAGTAGCGCATAATCGGGCAATTTTACTTGATAGCGGAGTCGATAATAACCGTAAGTAGGCTATAGCACAGTAAGTGAATAATTATAAATACTTAAACTCCCTGTCCACTAAATACCCGTTTCTTTTAATTTCTCTGATGATGAATCTGCTACGAATTGCGAAACGTCAGGCCAATAAAATGCATGTCCCACTAATCAAACGTATATCTTCTTCCCAGTTACTTCGTGGATCTCAGATGTTCGCTTGTATTGACTGTCGCTAGCGTTTTCATAAAAATTTGCGGCCTATAACACTTTAGGCCAGTATAAATAAGTAAATAAATACCGACGGATTTAAGGCTTTTAGCATATGGGCAACCAATAAGAAAGTTTAAAATATCACGGAAGAACGCTTTGCGATATGCAACCATTGGTAGAGGATAAGCCGAAATAAGCTTGTCGGCCTTTGGCGAGGAATGAGTAGAGCTCAGAAGGTAGGCAGATGCCATCTGGCGAGGTTAGTCAGCTAAAATCTGGCAAAAATGTATGTCTGGGCCGTTCGCGTAACGACTATTGGTATTAGTTTGCGAAAATTCTAAACTAAGACTCAGGTTGGCAATAAGATCACTAAAGACCACTGGAACGTAAAGTAACATGTCTTTCGTCAAACAATTTAACCCACGGGGATATAATATCACCCGTGAAGATTAGTAACGACTTAGCTTGTAGCGTTTGAGATACATTTAGATGATAGTGGAGTTCAATATTTTAAACACGCTGTTTTTTTGTGTAGCTCAAAAGATTTCACTTGAAAGTATATATGTATATAAAATTTATTTAAATGGAGAAACTGTCGGGCTAATCACTTAAGATGAGCTTGCGAGAGAGTTAAAAACAAAGGAAATTCCATCTATTGGCTGTGTTCTAAAGGTGTTTTTTAAATTAGTTGAAACGCAGCAAAATTTAAATTTGTGCTCTTCCTCCACCCAAGTTACTCTTGTAGCAGGAGGCAACGTTACCACAGATTTTAGCCGTGCATAACACGTACCAGTATGTGGTAAAAATTTCAAGCTGACAGCGCAAACAGCGATGTTAAAAATATTTGTGTGTGGCGACTTGGATAAACTTGTCTTTCTGCATGCTCACCCTTCATATGTCCGAAAACACATCTGGGCGGTTGAATAAGCTGCTGGTTTCCCATACCATCTGTTCCTGATAGAGACTGACAGCTGATTTGGATATCCGGGATTGTCCCAAAGTAATGGACCAGAGTCAGCGGTTAATTGCATTCCTTGAAATGTTGCAGGAACAAAATATTTCTAACGAAAATGAGCATTAAAAGAGGAAATTTCGATTCGTCTTTTAACCTTTTCTCGTTTCCCTTGAAGTACGCATGCCAAAAACATATGTTGTCAGGAGGTAAACACGTATTTGACCGCGTTAGATATCGACAATGCCGACATTGAATATAATATCTTGTGCCTACATAGTACTGTCAGCGTTCTGTTTGGACCGGTGTGGCCAGATTGTGGCCTTAAGAGTTCATGCCTACTTACTCCCTAGTTTAGACCGCTTATCTAGGCAGGGTGTTAACTAGCTGCAGTTCGGAAGGCTATTGGCAATATATAAATGAAGCTTCAATTGGTAATTTTTAAGGCTAAAAACTGCAATAAACCTTTGCACACTGGCAATAATTTCTGTTCAAATGGATATCTAAATAAAATTATTTTCTCTATTACAATTCACAAAAGTTAAAAAACACCTATGGTGACGGCACATGCAATCAAACAGATTGACTGGCGTCAGAAATTTCGTTGGGATGCTTGCAGCTGCTGTAAGCCTTCGCTAAGTGTGGCGTCTGGAGTTTCGTGCCTGAACTTTTATCAAACTTTACGCTTAAAATCTCTCCTAGAGTTCCTCAAGCACTCAGTTTGAAGACAGCTAGAATAGTATTAATTTGGTTCAAAGGTTTTCGTGAAAAACTGCACAAAAATTAAAAGTTTATTATGTTCCTCATTTTAAACGCCAACCAGAGACATTGACCTCATAAGGCCCATGGGCATTTAACTGCGCAGTTTTGGAGCTATCGTTTATATTTTATAATCCTACCTAGCCAGTGACTCGCCAAAGTATTTGGAGTTCATAGTATTTACAAATGCAATATGGATAGAATAATTAATGCATTTGTAAAGTACAATGGCCACACAACGTGAGTTATATTTGATGTCAACTTTGAGTAGTTAAGACATTGAGCATAAAAAATGTTTAAAACAATGATCTCATCAAAATATGTTATGGCTTTTTATAAATTCTTGATATGTTAATGTGCTTTTATACTATGTCCGTTCGATTTTTTTAAATTTAAATTTGATGATCACCTACATCAATATTTCAGGTCAATGGAAATATTAGAAATATACAAATTAAAAATATTCTGTGGGATCTTATTTGTTAGTATTTGCTTAATACTGTATGCACTTGTACATCATTGACATGTACAACGCTATATCAGGACTACAATATATTTTTTCATGTTATTTAATTTAGAATTGTTTGTTTGTATGGTTTGCTTAAAGTCGCTGATACAATCCGTACGAATTAAATTGGTTTTATAGTATAAAAGCAAAAAAATCCATTGTTATCATGAGCGAACACAATCGGAGTTTGTGCAAATCACAGGTGAGCTGTGGACAAAACAGAGCAAATCAGTTGTCAACTACGTCGTCACTCACCGTTAGATAAATAATATTTTAGGCCCATATTCGCCAAAGTGACATTTCTGTGAACTTAAAACTGCTCACAACTGCGTTTATAAAGCGGTTAAATGCTGATTTCTCTCTAGGAAAGCTAACTTTGCTATAGCAGCCGACTATTTTTGTCTACTAAGTCCAGTAAAATGGCCTAAAAAAAGTAAAGGCATCGGCAGTAAACACATTTGAACATAAAAATGAAATGAATATAAGTATGCTTTAATTACCTGTTAAATGCAATTTAAGCAGCTAACAAATGCACAGATAGATATCAGTGAGACAATGTTTTTTTTTCCGCGTGTAAAATGTCTAGATAAGCATTTTGTATGAAGCTAAATGTCGGATTAAGCGTACGCTATTCATACATTGAGTAAAGTAAGAAAATGTTCGGCACGACTGAACTAGGAAATAGACAGATATAGTAAATTAAGCCCCTCAAAGAAATTCCACAACAACTAATTAAAAAATGGCGTTTAAAATAATCATGCCAATCAATCCTGCGGGAAGAAAACATGCGAATTTTGAATGAATTATATCTACAGAATATAACATAGAATACACTTAAAATATGCAATGCAGAACATCTGGACTGCCAACGCGTGTTCATGTACCCTAAATGACTGTATATGGAATCATCACTGACATGCTACTTGACCTTGGTTTATAACCAGTAGTAAAATTCGTCCCTGCTAACTCTCAGTGAGGTCGTACATTAACTATTTTTTAATTAAAATAATTAATTAATTAATTAAACGTAATATGCCTTTTGAGGCGTATAGAACCGTTATTAATCCAAGTGTTCGATCGTTTCAGAATTGTGCATTGTTAGTGCACCTGATATGGCGGCGGGTCTTCGATAACTGTTGATTAATTTTTTTTAATAAGCATAGTTCACTCTGGGACACATAAGAACTAGTGGGGAAGAATTGTTTGCCTGCGTAACTTGCTGCTTTTGTATGTGTGCTGGTCGTTTCACGTAAAGCCAGCTAAACATCTGTTTCCTAGAAATGTGCCCAATCCCTGTGCGAGATCATTTGCTTGCTTTTTAATACCAATCTGTACTCTGACAGCCTGCACTCTGCGTCTCCCATTTAAGCTTAATACAGTACGAAACAATTGACATCTCATGAGTTTCATGCGACAGCTGTTCACTGCTATAAGGTTCATTCGATAACTGTGTCTTGTTTTGATTTAAATCAAAGCTCATTCGCTGTATTAACAGATAACAATAAACAACACCGACATGCAGAGCACTGCTTACTAGAAATGGCTGTTCTAATTTAAGCATGTGTTAACCCGGAGAAACTGTTGTAAAGAAAAAAGCATGCGTTAAAAGATTATAAAAGTATATTTCCGCATTTACTTCGAATATTTACGTTACACTTTGAATTTGGCCAATATGCGACCCTCCAATATTTTTTACTTTAGGCGTAATTCAGTGACAAACGTTACCTGCCAAATATTTGACTAAGATATCTGACGCAGTTGCGAAATACTTAATACTGGGTCCCGTATCTGCTACTACTCTCTGACTATGTCTCTGGTTACGAATTTGCGACGGATGTCGAAAGATCAGGTGAACAAAAGCATTCTCCCAACGACCAAGTCGTCTTATTCTCAAAAACTGAATACTATCAACAACTAATTAATTAGTCATCTGATAATTCGAGATTACTTGATAAGTAATGCCAGTTGGATAATCAGCTTTCTATATGGAAAACAGCATATTGCTTACGCTGCAATGGGGCAAATGGGGAAACTGGCCCAATGTTATTAACTCTGCGGCCTCTAATGACACTTCGTAGCTCAGATGACAAGACTTAAGCTCCTTCTTTGATGGCGTGTATGGGAATCTCGCCACCCCGAGAATACCGAGTTTTTCTTACAACTGCGTGAAATTAATATTTTATTTGTCCTTATGAAATAGGGCATAATGGTTACAGACCCAACGCCCACATTGCACTATCTAGTTCTACAATAGGATTAGTTCAATATATAATCCACAAATCCGTTGATTTCTGTTTTTCTTGAAATATTTGTAAGAATTAGCATAGAAATACGTACAGCCCTATGCTAAGAACAAAACCAGATAGAGTTCTAACGGCAGTCGACCACTAACGGCAGATTCATCTTAATGAATGATGCTGATTATTGTGACAGCAAGGTTGTTGGTTATTAGTAAATATAACAGTGCGTCTTGCTTTATACTGAAAATGGTAGAGCAATAATTACACTTCCGTTTGTGTTTATAATCATTGACTAAGTTGCTTAAAAGGCTAGGTGTAGGGCTAAACAGTTTCCACAGTGAGTATCATCATTCCGCGTTGACCAACGGTGTTTATATATTTTTATATAGATTGATGTAAAATATCATAAATACAACGAAGACTTCAATGAAAAATGCTAGCTTATAAGCCCTCATCGGACAGTGTCACGCCTATTCGGTTTAAGTCACCTCTGAAAAAGGAACCCGATACCTTTTGAGGTAGTATGCTACTTGCTCATTTTCCTGTCAGTTGTAATCACGTTTATTAAGAATGGTAGATGGGCACTGCCGATGCCACTTAGAGACGCATGCTTCCCGTTTTGTCTTTAAGTGCAAACTTTCGCCCCGATGACAGAAACGCAAGGCATAACAATAAAGGCTGAATAATATAAGCAGCAAAACCAAGATGGACTCACCCAGCCAGTTGTGATGTATAGACACCGTACAGCTAGTATAAATTCAAACTGAATGGAGTGAGGAGAGGTAACCTTTGTCGTAACCACTCCAGTCGTTCCCCAACAGTTGCGATTCGATAATACTTATCAAGACTGAGATGGAAAGAAAAAAAATATAGCATATACAGTAACCGCTTTCAAGACTCCACTGAAAATTCGGTATACAGTTGCCGAGATCGATGCCAGTCCAAAATTCATATTGAACAATCGGACTTCGAGTTATTCCGCTGAAGTCAGCAGATTGTGTGATTTGGTAGTTAGTGCAACCTTTTGAATATACCCAACTCATATAAGCAGGTAAATCATGTGGCATATCTTAACCTGCCCTGGTAATCGCGGGCATAGCTTTAATCAATCCACAATTTTGTAAATCTCTTTCCTCCCTTTTTCCCTCCTGTATTCAAGTTCAACGGCAATTGAGAATTGGCCGTGATAGACAATGATTTTGCTGTTATATATGGATGTCTGTGAACGCTTAAACTTGTATGTTCTTTTATCCATAGTCTATTTCATACGAAGATTGGTAGCATTTTATAAGACGTTCTGAAGTTAGCTATACCAGTAACCATACTTTATGCACGTTGTTAAATGTCATATTAATTGCAAGTCGATAAAAAAGTCTGATTGAAAATATTTCATAGAGCTATTTAAGCACCATACATTGCGCAATACGTCTTGAGATATGGACCATTACGTTTCGCTTATTATTAAAATTTATTCATTCATTAATCATTATTTTGCTTATCATTACCTTATAGGCAATCAGCATTACACAAAGCGGAAGCCCTGAGGAGAAACTGGGACTCGCGTTCCAACTGTACGATATAGACGGCAACGGAACAATTGAGGAATCTGAAATGACGGAAATTATTAAAGTAAGTCACAGAAGTGTTTGGTATTTTCTCTGCATTAATAATACATCCCCTTTACTAAATAAACTGTAATGTTTTGGCCCTTTTTGCCTATTGTATTCTCACTAGTACGTATCGCAATTTCACTTTCAGCAGTGCTGTTGACCCATACTTAGCTTTTAAAATGCCTTCAGGAGAACATACACAATCAAAAATAATGGTTGAGAGGGACCTCATTTAACTGGAACCTTTGCTAAGATTTTCATATGTAAGTATCCTATAAACATGACATAACAACTAATTTAGTTGGACCAACTGTAAATAAAACACGCGGCGTCGGCGGGGGTCAAATATGCATAGAAAGGAACTTCTTTACGCAGACAACGCTCTACCAGTTAATCTACAACGCCACGCCGAGCGCCGTGAATCTAATTACACTTAACGCGATTTAACCAGCCCAAATTTTATAGCTCGTATGGAACCCCGCAATACGGAATAGAAACCTGCCTGTCCAAGCAGGATTTCCCAAGCAATCATCTAGAAGATACCATAATAAATACTAGGCCGACTTCATTGTGGGTTCGACTCACGCAGACTCCGCAATTTTTTTCACAATTGGGTCAACTTAATTAAGCAAATCTGCCAAAGCCCCTAAATAACGGCTACTTTTTAACCTTTAAATGTATTGATCGCGTAACTCTTGACCAGTTATTTAATTCGTTTAACTTCTCAAATTCCCTATCATTTTTTTTTCGAAATGACAAACACTGTACTTGCAAAATATTGCCCGTAATCAATGCTAAATCATAAATAAGTTTGCAATGAAGCCGTAACTGCAGCTCCTGAGATGACATTGCGACTCTTCTCCTCCTAAACGCAGTAAGCGAGTTGAACCATAAATAGGAACACAATAAAAAGGATCCTGAGTTGCAAGTTGTAATTGCTATTAAGTTGTGGGACGACTCTGGGTAAGCTGGTAGCCCAAGAAATGTCACATTCGCGACTGCGCCCAATTACGGAGAATGACATACGGGATTTTTTCGTTGCTTAGAACAACTAGTTAACAGTCGTCGAATATAGGACACGCTGATAGTATAAAAATGTTGCGCATACTATGATGATGTCTTACTTAATATTTCCAGCATTTTATTTATTTGAGGTCAATTATAAATTAAAGTCAGATATTTGAAAAAAAGGTTGTAAAAATGTCGGTTGCTTTTATGAATTAACATTTTATCATTGTGTCACATACAGTAGTACCTAGTCGGGAGTCTTCAGTCCCGGAGGTCTTGTGTCTATCATTTTATCTTCGGTACTGCGTCAAATATGGAAGGCTGCTTTTAAACTGAAAATCCGACCGCGTGACCTGCAGCCTAGTAGCAACAGTTATTCATTACACGAGATTTGTAGCAAACATTATTATATAAGACATATTTGCAAACAATTGTCTTCAGTCATTCATCATCAGGCCGATACAGTGACATGAAGAATAAAAAAATGATCAGTAAATGACATTGTTTCTATTATCTTCATTTTGGAGGGCGATTGGAGGGTATAATTAAGCATCTGAGTTTTCCCTCGTCCCCCGAATGCGGGCGCATGGGATAATTGCTTGTACTAGCACTTTTTGACAGGAGACATTGGCATTTTACTAACCGTGGCTAACACGCGTTTGCGCCCTCCTTTGGAGTGGTGTGTCGGCGTGAAGTGGACTCTTAGGCGTCCATTTCTTGCTTTGTATCAATTAGGTGGGCAAGGATAGGGCTTGAAATCGATTGATTCTCTCTTTTTCTGTGCCAGACTGGTATTTGCTCGCGTTGTGCACGTCGCATTGTTCAGTCAATATGACCTGCTCTACAGGAGCAGGTGAAATAATAGATGCACATGGATGTGGCTTGTAACGGTACCCTGTCTTTACCCCCCCCCTAACCTGACAATCATATAAACACTACAGTTTTTATTCTCCAAGTCACTTTATCGGCCTGATGATGGATGACTGAAAACAATTGCTTGCCATTTTGACTTTTCAATCATAAAATGAGAGTTTTGCAGGACTTTTATTTAGGATTCCGTCATCAGCCACGGTTCCTGCAGACAAACCGCGACTATGAACGACCTGCGTCATGGTCGTGCATGTGTTTGTGCTGTTTGTATTGCTTTTGAAAGATATCGAATAAGTTCTGTATCTCTAAACGCGTACCCAGACTGTCATCCTTCTTCTATCATGACTGACCATGCTTAACCTAATTGGTGATTAACTGTTTGTATGCCATTTCCCGAAAAAGTACTCTGACCGGTTCGGACAGTCGCTGGCGCCGATAAATGGGAGTTGAGAAGAAGTTTGACGGTTAAGCGGATTTTCTTTATCATAAACAATTTGATGAGCTTGATGCCATCATCGGTTGCTAAATGGCCGTGGCTTGCTGGGTTGCATTTTGATGGGAAAACTTTAACGGTGAAATCGACCCAGTGTTTGTTTTCTGCGGAGGGGCTGATAGGCAGATTTACAATCAGATTAAATTAATATCATCTTAGTGTGGGCTTTATGACACACCCGTTCAGCTGGAATTCGAACTAGATGTGGCGCACTTTCACGCGTCAGTTCTTTTTGGCTGAACCATGACATCTAGTGTATGAGATCGAAGGGGTCGAGTGCGGTGGATGCCGAGCAACTTTACGCACGTTATCGTTTAATTTATACGCAAGTCACTGCATTTGCTTCCAGCCTCCTGTGAAGCACAAGGAGGACATAGCCGGAAATAAATTGTGAAATCTCACCTATACTACCTCATTCGGAGGAGGTAAACATGTACAAATGGTTATTTGTTGACCAATTTATGTGAGACATATTCAAGTGGTAAGTTTTTGATGCTGCAATGAAAAAGAGATTATGATAATGGAGATTATTCAAACATACATTGGGCAATGCAAATTTGCAGGACGTTTACATTTGTGGTGTTGAGATACTTTTAGCTAGGCTCCTTAGCCAATTTCTACAGAGCCGATTGTCAATTAGTTTGTCTGTTGACATATTTACTTTTTTCCTACTTAGGACTGATTTGAAATAATATTTTGCGCAGTGGCTGGTAGCATGTACTGAAATGCGTTTGAAAGAAAAAAATGTTTACAAAGACTTGCATGTGTAATTTTCCAGAGTTCCGACGTCGACAAAATACATGACGGAATTTCGTGATTTTAGAAATAATGAGACGTGCATTGGATATCCTCATGAATGCGTTGCCAGCAAAAAAGGCAAATGTTTGTGATGCTAGCAGAATATAAGTCAAATTAAATATTTCTTCTTCAACAAAGAAAACAGTGGCACTCACTGAGATAATATATGGAGCCAAACCCTCCCTTAAAATTAAGTAAACCTAGTAGTCATTCTGGTGGATTCTAGATGATTGTTAAGGAATCCTACCTGGACAGCCAGCTTGCCGTATTTTAAGGTTTGATTTCATAGAAGCAGTAAGTTGGGAGGGTAAAATTGACCCAAATGTGATTGCTTTCACGACTCACGGTGAGCCTCGTACCTCAAAGATAGATTTTTTTGCCTGCGCAAATGCCTTCACTGCTGTGTGGGTTTGACTTCCACCAAGGCCGCGAATCTTTCAAAATTGGTTCAAGAAAATCTGGCAAACCCCCTTACAATTTCTCGTGTGACGACCATAAACATACACGTTGTATGATGTGTGTCGGAAATTTAGCGCCTTGTTTTCTTTCAACTAATTACTGTGAATTACGTTTAGAAAAAAAATATTCTTACAAGCATACTCCAGTAAAATATGCCTTTAGCTAAAAAGCAATTTATCTACTTCGACAATCGCTCCAAGCGTTTTTATTTATTTCAATTTAGGTGGCGCCAGGCTCTGCGTGCAGTAAACTTTTGGTTTAAAAGGCGTGCCTTATTTTCGTATTCATTCTGATAATTCTAATCTTCAAACTTCTCGAATGCATAGGTAAGATGAAAATGTAAGCTTAGCCAGTGTAATAATGCAGGTAAGCTTTTATTTATCATTTAAGCAGCCAAGTGCTCTGAATGTACACTGTTCTATAACATCAGGACACAGAAAGGCATATATTACCTGCGCAGAAGAGGACTCGACCGCTGCGAAAATACTTTTATTCGCCTGACGTTTCGATATCAGTTGTGGATTCACCATCAAATACATAAACAGAGGATAGTGGCAGATTGTGGTAGCGTATGCACAGGAGTTTGCAGTATTTATAGGATACAATCATATCAGCAAACATGCAACAACAATCAACGGTAATTGTTTGCTTGCGTGTTGATAGTTTGTTGAGCGGAAAGCGGGCTCCGACCTGCTGAACTTTCATCACGTGTAGTGAACTTAGGCGAGACGATTGCTCGGCCACCTGTCCCTCCGTTTTGGCGTACTATGACTTGGTGGCCTGTCCGTTCCCCAAGTTGCGACTTGCTTTGGCCAAGTTTAGTCTCAGCACTGAATATGGATTAGGCAAATCTTTGCACTTGTTTATTGATTGGAGACCCGTGAACTATGACTGTTTCTGTTATAAAGTTCTGCACACACTTTAAGATGGTTGGTTTGGCGAACTTACAGTTTGTTCGTTTTGAGCTATCTTTTCCGTGGTGTGAATTTAAATCAGACAAAAAAACCAGGATTTATTGAATCCAAAAAAATATTGATGCCTTTTAAACAGCATGTCATCTTTTTTAATGATTTGAATTACAAAGCCAAGCATGCGGCAGCTTGCATTTTTTATAGAATTTCAATGCATAGAAGAAAGAGCCACTTTTCACTTTTTGCGTTTGATTATGATTTACAGTAAACAATACGCATTCCTGTAGTGTACTGAGCTTCTCTAACAATTGCGACTTATGGTAGTTTGGTT